GAAGAGACCGAAGTCCCTCACCTCTTCCCCATATGACTTGCCTTGCAAGTCTCTGATAATATGGGTGGCTCTTCTCTGGACTCTCTCGAGCTTTTCCATGTTCTTGTTGAAGTGTGGCACCCAGAACTGGATGCAGTACTCCACCTGTGGTCTTACTAGTAAAGTGGAAGAATCACTTCCTTGGTTTCGCTTGAGATGCATTGGTTGATGCATGCCAGAGCAAAAGAGAACCAAAAGCGCGCAATCTCTTGTAACAATGAGATCATTAGGGGTATAGCACCACAGACAGTATCCTGACAGCCCACATACAGACCATTCAACTGGAGGGGCCCTGATGGGACCAGGAACACCTAACCTCATTTCGCTTTTTCTAGGAAAAGCTAGGTACAGAAGGAATCTGGCCCAAATCCATTCAAAAGGCCAGCTCATACTGCATCAAAACCACTGTATAAATTACTATAGTTTTTACATTTAACCATTCAGAGAGTCAGGCACAAGATTTGTGACAACAGTTTATTTTCCTTCTGTGATATATTAATAAGTTTTCACATAGTATAACTCTTCTAATTAACAGCTATCCTCATAATTACCTCTACTCTACTACTGTACATATACATTGCCGTTGTTATTTTGGAAAGAAAATTTCTACATATTTGAGAGACAAAAACAAATGAATTTTCATAGTACTGAATAGTTTTCAGGTTTCCAGATTCATAATGTTTTAGAAAATACCTTTGGGTTTTTTTCCCCTTGTGCATGGCCCTTCAAATTTAAGCAAGCTATGGGTTGAAGGGCACTGAGTTGAAGTTCTGTGGATACTATTTTTTTTAGTCTCTGTTCTGAAAGAAAACTGATTTCCTAAAAGTGAGACCTTGTTTACGGCTTACTTACTGAGCTGGGATTTCCAAAAGATCCAACAGGTCTATACATAAATAGATCCAATGTCCATTAGATCCAAATCTGCCTTTGTTTGTCTAAGCTTTCATTCCATACTAACACCCCTCCCCACCTTTTTGTTATACCAAAGTTTTGTGGAAACCCCATACTGCTTGTTATTTAGTTTGGTCTGATTATTAACCTTGCTGGGCTTAACTATTTAGCTGGTGACACTGAACCATTTCTGACATTTGTTGTAGGGCAAAACAGTCAAGTTCCCGCCCACGGATGCACACCACAGTGTAATTTTGGGGTGGGAAGCACAACCAGGACACTAGCCCTGGGTGCTGATTCATAGGGGGTACCAGATGGCAGCGCCCAGGGAGCCTGTGCCACTGCCACCTGTGTGAAGAGCTAAGTACCCCTCCCATACCACCCAGGCAACAACATTTGAAGTTACATCTCCGGTGCACATATAAAATGCCCAAGAAATTAACTGTAATGGGAGCTATGCACAATCAAGACAGTCTCATTGTTAGTGAATTTTCCAGTTTGTCATAGCTTTGGATCAGATCATGGAGTCAAAGCTGTTTGTGGTAGCCTTTGCATTGGAAGAGGAGTTGAACTGCTAGGGTACCTACTGACAGGAAGGATTCTAGTCCAGATGTGACACCAAATATTAAAAATATGAAAAATCCAATACACCTTTAAAATTCAGTTTATTTAGTCCGGGACTGTAAACGCCAACATACATTTACCATAACTGCATGATTATCCCATGGGGTTCCTCAGAGCAGTGGAATAAGGTTGTTTAGGTGCCTTAACTGTGAATTTCCACAGCTTCCAGATCTGGGCTTGTACATCTTTTCATATTTGACCTCCGAATTTCTTTTTTAAGAGCTAAAGCTTTTTCTTGTCACAATCATGACAGTCTCAGTCTTAACTTTAGCTTAATGTATTTTTTCGTGAAGGAATTAAGAAACAAACAAAACTAATGTACACAAGCAGGGCTTAATCCAGAGACCTTTTACACATATTTTATACAGAACATGGGAAATACATTCTTCTGATAGTACCTACCATCTTTCTAGTTACAATTTTCCCTTTATCCCTTAAAGCAGGGGTGGCCAACCTGCAGAACATGTGTCACATGTGGCACAGGCAGCCTTTGCATATGACAAGCAACAGTTTTGGGGAGTCTGGGGTGATAGCAGAAGACAAAGTACAAGAAGCACAGAGGCAGATCCGGCAGGGAGAAAAAGGCAGAGCAGCAGATCAGACAGGGAGGAAAAGGTGGAAACAAAAGCAGAGCAGCAAATTGGGCAGGGGAAGAGATGAGAGTGACCCTCAGGGGGCATGGGGATAATTTGTGGCACACGTGCTGAAAAGACTGGATTAATGCATTTCAGACACAATAATCCAATCAGACTCGTCACCAGCAGTCTAGATTCTAATACCTCGTCTGCAGTCCGTAAATAATGTTCTGCTAGCAACAGAAATGTGAAATATTCCTAAAACAGCAAGCATCTTTTAAACGCATAATCAACAGCCACAGATACCATTTTCTAGTAAGGGGGGGAAATAATAATTGTACCTGGTTCCTCCCTCTAATACTAAATACTTTTTCCTTAAAACAATCATCTAAATGGAAACTTCAAGAGACAATGGAAAAAGTGACCAGCTCTAGTTCTATATTAAAAGACAGTCTCTCTTCTCTCAGCCATGCCTCCCTCCTCACATTTTCTCTTTCAACAAGGGCCACTCCCTTTTCCTATAAGAAGTACCAAAGGAACCTTTTCACCCACTTCAAAAAATCACGTAGAGAATTTCCTGTTCCTTCAACACATGTCCCATCAGCATCCAATGTAGCTCACATTTAAACTAATCGCATGTTTGACCTTCCTTGCTTCTTTACATCTGGTACATCTTTCCATATTTTCTTGAGGCCTTAGGCCTCCCTAAAGCAATGGATGCTCTCTAACTGGAATGAATCTGAACTGATCTACACTGGAGACCATATTTAACTCATTCTATCACCTGTTAGACACCCTACAGGGCATCCCTAGGACCTGGCCACTTGGTTTAACCCTTTAGAATGAGCCATTGTCCTAAAGGTTAAAAATCCATTTTACAGATCACAGAATCATAGAAAATTAGGTTTCAAAGGGACTTGTGGGGGTCATCTAGTCGAACCCCATGTTTAAAGCAGGACCATCCCCAACTACATCATCCCAGCCAAGGCTTTATCTACCCAGGTCTTAAAAACCTCCAAAGACGAACATTACACAACCTCTCTGGGTAGCATGTTTCAGTGCTTTACTACCCTCCCAGTGAGAAAGTTTTTCCTAATATCTAACCTAAATTTCCGTTACTGCAACCTGAAACCAGCACTGCTCCTTGTTCTGTCATCTGCCACCACTGTGGCAGGCAATGGCCATTCTGAGCATTTATAAGTTGAAATATTTAAGGTGTTCTTTTTTTTTTTTTTTTTTTTTTAATTATGACTGTCTAATCTTTGAGTTGTGAATACAGCAAAGTTCCAGGGAAATTAAAAAGAATTGGGACAGTCTCCAATTTAAATATTAATGAAAAACATCTTCTAAGAAGGGAGGGAAGTTCTTGATGGTATGATCAGAAATACATTAACTCCAAACCTCATTTGCCTTCTCAGTCAAAATGTTCAACTCTAGCTTTCATGAGCCAAAGTAAACAGATGGAAAAACAATATGCTAGGCACATGGCAGACCGAAGAGAAGCTGTTCTCATTCAGAAGGTGGAGTGAAAGGGTACCTTATATAAAATGCCTGAGTTAAATTGATTATACAATGTCTTGTTAATAAAAGACTAGTTGCAGAATTCTTTTGGTAACTAAAATTAGTATAAAAAATAGTCTGTCTTTCAAATCATACCACTATTCTTTATGTCACACAAACAGCTACCATGAGCTCATAAAAAGAAAAATAAAATGTAGTTATTTTTATTGGAATGATTGTAAAATTGTAGCAACTATAATTTAAATAGTGTTAGACTCATCACTGAAAAGTAATAATTATTCTAATAATGGCCATAGTAACTGATATAGCCATGTTCAATTTAGTTTTGAAGAGCTCATGTTTATCTAGTCAGCAGCAAATGATTTTCCAGTCACTTTATGCTGAACAATAATGGTACAGATCTGTTGTCTCTACAGTCAGCCAATGTTAGACTCTTGGTAGGTCAAAGCCATTTGAAAGGCTTATATTTTTTTTTTTAAACTCATTCTCTCCCTGTGATACAAATGCAATACTATGACCATCCTTTAAAATAATTCTAGCGAAGAGCAAAACAAAAGGCATATATTCAGCAGCTGGATAGAAGAGAAGAGAAAGTAATAAAAAAACGCCACCATGAGGACTTCACAAGTATACCATCCAGAATACAGTATTGAAGTGCTATTTAAATGTCAGACAGAACCTTACCACGTCTCACTTCTGCTACTCGAACTAGGTAAATCACTCTAAAACACATTTGCCAACTGAATTTTTAGCTAATGGTTCAGTGTTATCTTCATTCCTTTAACATATATTAATACAATACAACTACAAGAAGAGTTAAAATAGAATCCACTCTTCTCTAAATAAATTCATATAATTTTTATTTCTTGAGGTGTAGAGAAAAATTATGTTCTGATTTTATTATTTTTATACAAAATACTATTGAAGTTAATTTTTTAAGTATGAACATAAGTTTGCATGGGAACAGTAATCTGATGCGTGTCCAACTTGATCTACTTTAAGGAACCCAACGTTCAGAAAATTACAAGTGCCACTCCTTGAAAAATCATATCCCTTTTAAAGTTGCATAAGTCAGAAATTTAGTCCAAAGTGGATACTTGTGAGTTAATATTTTCTTTTAAAGCTTTCTAAGCATCACAAGAAACTTTCAGAGAAGGTTTTGAGGTTTTTTTGTATTTTTATTTATTTTAGGAAGGAAGAGTATACAGCCAGCGTGTAGAGTAAATGGATTAAATACTTCTGAGTAAGTCAGGGCAAGTTTTGCTGCTGACATATGTACCCTGTTTTGTATACAGGAAATATGTATGATCAAATATATTACATTAAAATGCTAGAATATCCCGTTCTCACCTTTGGAGGTTTCAAACTCTTCCTTTTCTGTTTTTTACAGCGTAACAACCGTTCCCTTTCCTAGAAACAATGAGAACATGCCATTTCTTTAATACATACTTAGATTATACATAACAAAAAGAAACATCATTAATATCTTCTTAAAGCATGAGGGAAGCTCAAAGCATTGTTACAATTCACCAAGAACAAAGTAACTGTTTTTGCCAAAGGCAGAAAAATATTTAGTCTCCTTTGTCTGGAAATTGGCCGGCCTGGATGTTGTAAAATATTAAGCCCACATTTCTGACAGTTCTGGGTCTCTTTCTTCAAGAGCTGACTGTGGAACAGTGACCCGAGTTTCAAGGGGGACGCAGGAAAAGATATTGTGGACCTAAAGGAACGAGAACCAAAGGGGAGGTAAAATCAATAGGTACCCCACTGTCTCCCTTTATCCAAATGATGTACCAGTATCGGGATCCTGAGGCACAAGTTTGCAAGTGCCAGTTACAGGGTGCCAATCAACTTACCCTGCTCAATGGGTCCCAATGCAATAGGTCATCTAAGAGTTGTGTACGCACTGGGCTGCACATGCTACTTTGAAAGATTCCAATGCACTGGAACATCTGAAAAGCATGTACGCAACACATGGTTTTCAGAAGTCCTAGCTCACTGGGATCCCAGGATCAAGGAAACGCTCCCCAGTCCTGGCATCCTGATAGGCCAGGTCCTTTAAAAACCATGTGTGCAGCCCCTCTTAGAAAGCCATATGCTCAAATTAAAACCATACATACAAACAAGTCACAAATATCTTCTACGTTACATGTAAATTCTTTTTGCAGCTCATAAGCCATTTCATGGCATGAAGTTAAGTATATATGTGGCACGCTGCATATTTATCATGCAATTAAACTTAATTGTAGGATTAATAGAACATCTGCCAGGGGACACAGTATACTAGTGATAACAATCACAGAAAACAAATCCAACTATGCCAACACTGTTCCAGAAGATGAGTTTAGGAAAAGCATAAAAGAATTCAGAATAACGATGATAATTTAAATAGCACCTTCAGTTTCAGGTATTTTACAAATTGTTATGGGAATACAATTACTTCTGGGGAGGAATGGGACAGCTGTTTCATGTTCCACAGCAACACTACAATTATAGATAGAGAAAACATAAAACTGAAAACACCGGGGTAAGTAGACAAAAAATAATCTATAAAGATGCTGGCCACTTCCAGTCTAGCAAATGTTAACTGTAAACTGAAAGAAGGGGAATTTTTAAAGCTAAGTTAAGCATCTGTATCTCTGACCTCATAGGTGAGTCCTGTACGCACAGAGCCACTGCAGAACTCATTCTGCAAACTTTCTATAAATTCATAGTTATTTAAAGGGGTAGGGGGAAGAGAGAGAGCGCGAGCGCGAGATGAGTTCTGTAAATGGGCTGCTCATCTGGGATGTAAGAGATTCAGGTTCAAGTCTCTGCTCAGTGCCCCCATGAATGTACTACCCACCAACACACTGGCTATTCTGACTTCTTTTTTTCATCACAGTGCAAAATGGGGGAAAATAATTTATTTGAGATTTCTATTTCAAGAGCACTTCCCATCTAGTTGCAACTGTAAGAAACATTCACAACCTCATTTCTCATACATCATCTACACTCACACCACATTAAGCCACCAGATCAAGAAGCGATGCACAGTGAACAGACACTTGCCTAATCAAAATTATTTTCAGCAGCAATAGGGTTTAAATTGGTTGTCTCCTTTTCAGATACCAATCAGGAAGCTTTAAATCATGAGATAACAACTTTGTGTGATTGCAATAAGGTAAGAGATGCTTCAAAGAAGCTTGTGAATTTACCACAAAAGGAATAATTTAAAAAGTGCACAAGTATTTTCACTTCAATACAATGCCAAGTGTCATTTTGCACAACCAAAATTAACTTGATTATTGTTTTAAATTACAGGTTTGAATGAAGGTTGTTTACTGAACAAGGTATACTACCATTGAGAGATCATCAATGACATGCTGCTGTTCTATAACTTGCAATCTCAGGAATTCAATTTCTTGCTCCTCTCGTGTGCTGCTAAGGTCATTCAAGGAAGTGTGCCTCTTCAGTGCTGGCTGTGTGGATAATTTTTCTTTCTGGGGGCAAAAGAAAGCTACATTATTAACACAAAAAACCTCTTTAAGTGTCTTCCCACAACAGTAGGTAAAACATTCCATGTGTTATATTAATATACGAGTTTTCAGATTCATCAGCAAGTGCTCCCAGATTCACAGGCCGCATCCACATGAGCGTGGATATTTGTTTCCTGGGGGACAAGAAGCAACAGTACACCTTATGCCACTGCGAACTGCCCCTAGAGAATGCCTGTGCCATGTGCCCTCTGGCGCATGGCAGGTTACTCTGAGTGGGGTAGGAGAGGCTGGGGCCAGCACTATGCTGGCCTCTGCAGCCTTACCTGAGGTCCTGGGGGCCTCCCAGTGCTGCAGCCATGGCAATCCTGCCACTCAGAGGCTGGCCGGCAGCCGGAGTGTGGCTCCAGCTGACCAGGCTCTGGTTTTAGGCGGTGCATGCTACCCGCAATGTGCCACCCTGCTTTTTTGTGTGCAGGTTTTTTTTAACGCTGGGATCTTCTGGGGTCAAAAAACCACCCGCCATACTGCTACCTTGCACCACGGAGAACACCTGAATGTGTGGTGCTGCAGACGTGTCTGCAGTGCCACATACTGCATGGCCATGGTCGCCTGGACACAGCCACAAGGTCCTTTTGCCACCAAGCTACTGAATTTACTTGCATATAAGATGACCTACAAATAATTACATTCCATGTATGGAAAGTTTATAAATTAGGTACAGAATCTAATTATTGGAGGTTTGTCTTGAATTTGTTAACCTTCCATTACTACAGCAGGGAAAATAAGCCTGGGGGGTCAGGTAGCCCCCTTGCTTTCTGCCCCCAACACTTTTCTTCTGTAGCCCCTTCCCCCCCTCCTTACTGTCACACCCTGCTCTCCCTGAGCACATGGAAGTGAGAAGCAAATCTGAAAAAACTGACCTTTAAATAAACATAACTGTAGTGATTTGCATATAGTATCCATACATTTAGTTCATCTAAGCTTGTTGATGCAGTTTACATTTTTTGAAACTGCTGCAAGTTTTAGCACAGGTACTCCATAAATAAATTTTTAAGTAGCACATTGGCACCTTCCTATATATAGAACAAGCTATGCAAGATATTAGTCCATAGCCAAAAGATACATGAATTACCATATACTTCATGGGGCTGGGCCCCACCAGAGTCAACAGCATTTCAAGACATTAGTGACCCCACAACCCAGCACTGCTCAGTATATGTGTGTATTCCAGACAAGGTTCCTTGGGTGAATTTGATATCTTTTATTAGACCACCAACCCAAATGGTTGGAGAATAGTTATTAAGCAAGCTTTCGGGTTCAAAAACCCTTCAGACAAGCACCGAACCTCACCAACCTAATCACCAGAAGCAAACTTCCTCAACCCCAGAACACACCAAAAGGATCCAGACTGTGCCATGACAAGAAATGCAAAACTTGCCCCCACATCTCCACTATTACTACACCCCACAACAGAGCCATCAGCATCCCAAGATCTTACAGCTGCACCTCCAGGAATGTAGTATACCTCATCCAATGCACCAAATGCCCTGATGGAAGATATGTAGGAGAGACCAGACAACAACTGCGCACCAGAATGAACGCACACCGGAAATCCATCAAAGACAGAAACACCCAATT